CAACTTCCTCCTTTTGCTAAAACCAGTTTGTGTCTGTTGTGGAGACCGTATCTGTGAGTTTTCCAGACGTCCGTTTACTGGCATATTGTTACTTTTATGCGTTTTTGCGTGAACTTTAAGTCCAATAATAGTGGCTTTATATGCAACAAATATCGCTGTAAGTTCAACAAGTGGAGTAGTAGTGATGAATTTGATGGTTTACTGGATGGATCGCAGAGAAGAAAGGATGATCTAGCAGAAGATCAAGATTTTGTCCACATCGACAATTTTATTTCTTTACAGACCTAGCTGTTTCAAGATGATTTTATGTAAACGGATTTTGATCTGAGTTCAGTACCACTGACGGATCCTGGTGAACAGTTGTCGCCAGATTCTATAGAAATTCAAATGAATTTTTGTTTGCCATCACATACATAGGTAAATGGAAGCCATATCTTATAGGTGGACCAAATCACAACTTACAAAAAAGGAGTTTCTTTAACATCATCTGGCGTAACTGACCGGTTTTCAAAATTTCGGCATGCATTAAATTCAAAGAATCGTTTTGATTTTGATAACCCTTCCGCAATGTCCAGTTCTGATTATTTTAATTTCACTGGTCTCTCTAAAGGAAACTTTAATGATTTAGTTAGCCGTTTAGGAAACGCAAACTTAAATAATTCATCAAATCGTTCAGTAAGGGGCGTAATCGTCTGTCTTTTGTGAAGATGCGTTTTGGACTTAATAACAAAATACTGACAACACTATTCCAAATAACTGATCCACACGCTGTTTCTAGATCGCTACCTAGGTTACGTCAAACACTGGTATATGCTAATGGTTTTGTCGAAAAGCAGTTGAATTTTCATCACATTACACGAGAAGATGTCGTAAAACATCACATATCTTCACTTGCGCGACAACTATTGATAGACGATCCAAATGCAATTATTTTAGTATTAGATTAGGACTTATCTTTATATTTAAGTAAGATTTTCTCACGTTCTTGTCATGCGTTTTTTCCTATCTTCGTTTAGGCAAAAATATTTACTATCACTATAGGGCGCACAGAGATGAGGAATATTAGAAAATAATTTAGTAGAACTAGAAACGTTAAGTTGTTTATATATTCAGCCGTTAAACCGTACTAAATTAAGCAGGTAGTAAGAGGCACTAGGAAAAGATTAATTGTATGAGTTCAACAATCATTATCTTAAAACTTTTATTTAAAACAGGAGCTGACGATGATTACAGTTGTAATCGAAAGCTTCTGTTTTAAATAAAAGTTTTAAAATAATGATTGTTGAACTCATACAATTAATTTTTTCCTTTATGAAATTATTATCAACAAATAATGTGAGAAGAGGCACTAGAAAATAAGAAATAAAGAATTTACGCAGTAATAATGAGTATCTCCTGATTGATGCTGACCGTATTCCTTTAAAGCATTTCATATGCCCATATACCAGATGTATACCAGAAACATTCACCGCAGAATTTAACGTTAAAATAAAGCTTCACGTTCAACGAAATCGCTAAACAGGAACGATGAACGTTTCCAGGCCTAGATAAGGCAATGGAATACGACGTCAAAAAATACAACACTAAAATTTGACTTTTAAAATCATTGAGTATTTCATTTTTTCTAGAGCTAATGAACAGCAATTTTAAATGAATATAACTGGCAATCGACAAAGCTGCTTCAGTTGTTACGCTTGTAGCTAAAATTGTCATATAAGGTTTTACTATGTCGGCTAGTTATAGTGAGATGCACATATGGCACAATTCAAGTGAAATTTTGTTTCGAACTTTTCACATACCATTCGATAGAGAATTGAACGCTGATCACGGCAAACACTTTCCAGGCTCCCAAAACCCTTTCCTCGCTGAGCCAGCCTTAAAATACTCTGAAGGTGTCCAAAACCGCAAAAAAAGAGGGTTTTCGAAAAATGGCTCTAGTTTTTTGGCGTTCCATTTTTGTGATCCAAGAGTGGGCTCATTGGATTCAGAATCGAAAGCTGATTCTAGAAAAGTAAGTGTCGAACCTCTAAAACCAAAACTGGATTTTTCCTTATAACATCATAAATAAAGTTCGCATTCACTGAAATGCCAACATACCCTAGCGTTCACGTTCAGGGAAAACGCTGAAAAGGGGCGTTGAACATTTGTAGGTCTAGGCGGTGTGATAAGGAAGAACAAATTTTGTTTTGTCAAACAATTTGAAATACTCGTTTTATCTTGTCTTGCAAAATGTTGCAAGATGAAGCCGTTTCGCCCACCTCTGCTACTCACTACATAAAGAAGTCGTGTGTAGTGGGTGAAAATATATGTTATACTATCAGAAAACACTTATGCAATGATATGACCAGTTTTAAAGAGTTAATGAGCTATTTATTACACACATTATTTTCACAATTACTAGCCGTAGCCTTGGACAATTTTCTGATGCGCTTGGACTTAGTTTCTATATAATCCCTTTAGTTATCAAATAAATATGAAAATCTGAGTGGGTAGCCATTGAACTCCCATAAAATAATTTTGATGGTCTAACACAAGTTAGCGTTATAAAGCGTTTTTTCGAAAAACTGTGTTTGAACATATTACATTTTCAAATATAATAAAAAGTATATAAATCAGCCCGTTTCAACGGTTACATTTCTGTAACTCGCTCCAGTGCATTGATATGCCTCTTCAATCTAATTTCAAGTAATAGGTAGAGTTTAAAGCACTCTTATAATATATTATAACGTCCAAGTAGAAAGCAGTCAGATTGCCGTAGAAGAAAAGTAGTGATCTGCATTTTTTGGCAATACACTGGCAAGATTTAACGCTATAAACTGACGAAAAACAAATTTTTATGACAAATACTTATGGTCCAGAATGTTCACTACATATTCTCGAAAGACCAGATGCTTCATCTGTTATCGTTTTTCAATAGTGGTTATTTCAAGGGGGAAACAGCTGATTTTTCGGTTTTCGTCGATTTTCACCAACTTTCAATCATTTTTCCCGATTTTTGGCGATTTTCGATTTAAACTGTGCAAATCGGTGAAAATCGAAAAATCAGCTGTTTCCCCCTTGGGTTATTTCCTCTAAAGTCTACAGGATTGATTTTTTTTTATGCTTGGTTGTTAATTATATGAGCAGTGAAAGTCTCAAAAAACGTATGACGCAAGCAAGAGACCGTTTCTTGGTTAAACCAGCGCAATATTTCATTTTTAAATAGGTATCTACCAAAGCAAAAATTATTGGAAACAGCATTTAAAATGTTCCAAAGAAAAAGTGTAAAACAAACGAAACCAAACAGGAATCAAATGCTAATACTCTAAAGCTGAGAATAGCTAGCAGCAACTGAACTGGTGTGTTTGTAAACACTGAACAGAGAGTTCAATCAGCATTAAATATCTACTTTACTTCAGACCAGATACTATTTGATAACGGAGAGTTGATTTAAAACAGTTCACTGTATAACAAAAACCAAAAACCCTTTTGCATAAACCTACCGTAAAGAAGAAAGTTATGTAAAATGTGCCAAGTGTTTTATCAATCTTTAAACACGATAATTCTTACTTTTAATGCGTTAGTGCGTAGTTTGTTTGAGTTCAAAAAGTGACTACACTCATTGGAAACCTGCTTGTGTTACTCAAAATTATTCGAGATTGTAAGGCAACTGAAATTCTAAGCCGAACCAGGTAGAGTTGCACTTCGTCAACTATCTCTTATAATCGTCTATATATATGTGTGTCACATAACCATCGGTTTGTATACCAGTAGAAGAAAAAGTGTTTTACTGTTGTACTGCAATCAGTTCGCGTATGGTCGATGGCAAGGAAAGTAAAACCTCCTACTGAGTATATGTGCTGAAGTGATGTCAAAGTGAAAAACTGATCATTAATAGCTGATCATTATAGTTAGAAAAAATTTTAATTATATTCTAAATTAATATTTTTCTATTGTGTGTTTTAATTTCAACATCGATGATAGATGCAGTTGATGTTATAGTACAGAATCCTTGAGCGAGGGGTACTTTCAAAAATTTAAGAAAATTTTTGAAACTAATATTAATTTCCTATGAAAATATTTTTCGTCATTTTTTTTCGAAGAATTTTATTTAATACTATTTAATTTCGATTTTAATATAGAATTAAACAATGCCATTAGTAACGATCAAGTTATACGTATAAATCAGCTCATGCCTATCAAAAGATATGACTAAGATATTGGTTATGGCTTGGGTATTTATTAATACATTAAAACAATACTAAAAATATATATAACATCAAAAAACGATGCTGCATAGGATTTCTTCACGTTGATATACTCACTCTCGGTTTATCCATTAAATTTATATGTGTAGACGTGTTGCCGGTGTATGCCAGACAACATCAACGACAACAAAATGTAAAGAGTAGAAAACTAATAGCCCATGGTTTTCTCCTATATTCAGTGACAATGTCACTAGTTTTGACCCTTTTGGTTTCAATTGATATCACCAAAAATTGTCCTCGATCAACATATTAACAGTAACTATCTACAAACATCAGAGACACTATCAAAAGAGCAGATAATACAAAGTATTTGCATAAACGTTAATTTTTTGTAAATGACCAGAAATGCTTTTTTTTATAATAGAATTGTAGTGTTTTCTTCCAGTTTCGCTGCATCCATTCCTTCCTCACCCCACGAACAATCCCCATACTAACTGACTGATTCGCCTTGATAATTTGTAAAATCGAATGTCTCTTGTTTAATTACAGCAGTTGAACGATTGCTGCACGGATCCTATATAATTGAGGTTGTTCAATAGATTGGATTGTAGTTCATCTTTTTCTTCTAACGCCTGACCATCGATGTCCGGCTTCCGTTAAACTTAGCGCTCGATTATCCTTTTCTTCACATCGCCATGTTTTCACTTCACCAACATCAAAAGAATAAATATCTTTCTGTTTTAATGAAGCAAACGCTGCAAATCTTCCAAAACCACTTTCACTTGTAATAATATGTCTTTCACAAAACATAAATAAAAACGTATCAAAAAGTAAGGAATTCAATGCCTGCACCAAATTTTGAGTATACTGAATATGCTGGACGGGATGTGGATTTGCTATAACAGAAAACTGAGTATTCGAATATGTTTTCAATGCTGCTTGACGAATACGATAATCATCTGCCATCAGATAGACAATAGTTGGTTTTCCTTGACTTATTTCTTTTGCACAATCGAAATAAATCTGAAACTTATACATTAATGAATACATTCGATGAGGATTTTTCATTATTTCATCACCGGTACGAATTTGAATAGCAACAGAATTATGAGTGGTTGATAGTAGAGTTTGTAACAGTTGTTGATGCGTTTGACCACCTTTAAATTGTGAAGACGATTGAGCAGATGCTATTTGGACAAAAGTGGATAATCGTGGTATGATTAATGAGTGATACAGGCAGCCAAATAAAGTGTCACCGGTCATTTTCAATGTATTAGTTAAAAATGAACGATAAATACTTGTAGGAGAAGTAATTGTGTGAACTGTAGTGCCTGTATGTCCTCCAAAAACGAGAATTCTGTTTTTATTCTCATAATCATAATCTTTTGTGAATCGTTCCAAACTAAACCATTGATATTGTACAGACAATTGATTTCTCGTCTTTCTTGTTAATTTGTTTAGTTGTGAATACCACGGTATAACGAGATTATATTCGTAATTTAGATTTGATTTCATGACTTTAAGAAATGCTGGCCAATTTTGATCGAAAACAAAATAACGATGTGTTAATAGAGCAACTAAATAAGTGGATATAAAATGTAAAATTCGATCAGCGTAACCTGATCTATGACGAGCATATAATAAAAATCGTACATCTAATTCGAGTAAACGATTGATTTGTTGCTGATAGGTGGTCATATTTGGATGACTTATTTGACGAGTAATATTACGATGCCAAGAATGATAATCTAAAATTAAAATATGTGAGATGCTATTATACATTAGGTATCCTCTCGTTTCGTCCCGTATTTGTTAATTAGCTCTCGTTTCGTCCCGTCTCATTTCGTCCCACACTCGTTTCGTCCCCTCTCGTTTCGTCCCATACTCGTTTCGTCCCGTTTACATTTTCTATCATTCTACTCATTTTATAACTATTCATATTTTTCTATCAACTGTATACTAATCAATATTAATATAATTTGATAATTAATACATGGCTTTATAAGTTAC